TAGGGTTAAGTTTAGGCTTAGGGTTAGGGTTGGGGTTAGGGTTAGGGTTAGGCCTAGGGTTAAGTTTAGGCTTAGGGTTAGGCCTAGGGTTAGGGTTGGCGTTAGGGTTAGGCCTAGGGTTAAGTTTAGGCTTAGGGTTAGGCCTAGGGTTAGGGTTGGCGTTAGGGGAGAATGGTCCTTTAGGGTTTCTGAGATTATAAACCTTTTAAGCAGGGGCAGACGGTATTGTCCTCCTGCAGAACGGCTGGTGGGTTTGAACTGCAGACCTTGGGGTTAGCAGCCCACTCAATGCTTAATACACTGTGGCACCAGGGCTTCGGCCTGGCATATAACTTAGTTTCTATAATTTCTTGGGCCTTTCACTTCTGTTTCAGTTCACATCTAGTAAAACCTCTTGTGACCACCAGAGGGAGCAGAGCTCATTATAAATAAAATACGATTTTATTCTCAGATATTTCTGGGACTTTCTATTTATTTTGGTATTCCTGGGTGGTACCAGCTGTCATTGTGCTCAGATGCTAATGAAAAGGTTGAAGGTTCAAGTTCATCCGGAGGTGTGTTGGAAGAAAAAAGTAGCCATTGAAGACTACCGAGAGCATAGTTCTACGTTGGCACACACTAAGTGCCCTAGAGTTAGGATTGACTGAACAGCCGTTGGTCTGGTCTGGCTCTTTGTCTCAGTAGTGTAGTTAAATCTTGGTTCTCAGTGACCATATTTCACTTACTTACATTTTTTAATTTCTTAGGTCTTGTACACTTTTATGTTTGTTCAGAATTTTATTAGTGCTGTATCTTCACTTCTCTTCACTTCACTGGTCTCACTAGCGTCCATTGTATTGTAGTAGTGTATTCATGAAGCTAAATGGCATAGACGAAGAATAGGCACTCCCATCTTTGCTGCAGTCATTGAAGCAGCGGCCAGTTGGCTGTCTACTAAGCCTTCAGCAACACTCGCTATTGTTCGTTCATCTGTGGTTTTTAGAGCATCATCTGCTTTGATCTGTGAAAACCCATTCAAAGTCAGAGCAGATAAATTCATACAGTGTTGTGCGATGTTGAGCAATTTCCAACCCAGTGGCCTCATAGCACAGAGCAGAACTGCCCCATACGGATTTCTAGGCTACAGTCTTGACGGGAGCCAATTGTCAGGTCTTTTCTCCAGTGGAGTTCCAGCTGCCGACCTTTTGGTTAGCAATCGAGTGCTTTAACCATTGTGCCACCAAAACTCCTTCACATACATGCAAGGAGCCTCAACAAGTTCATGGGAAAGTGGTAAAAGAGGATGGAATTTTAGACTTTTTGAAGATCCTTGCATATTATAACCCAACCCTACCCATCAAGTCGATTTTGACATTTCGCAACTCCAAAGGACAGAATGTAGAGTCCTGATGGCGTAGTCAGTGGTCGGTGGATCAAAACCAGCAGCAGCTCCCCAGGAAAAAGACTGGGCTTTCTATTCCCAGACACAGTGACGGTCTCGGAAACCCACAGGGGGTGGCTGTCAGTCAGCATTGACTCGACGGCAGCGAGTTTGGTTTGGTTGAAAAGACAGAGTAGAACTGTCCCCCAGGGTTTCCAGGGCTGTCATCTTTACAGCAGCAGACTGCCCCATCTTTCTCTTGAAGAGTGGCTTGTAGCTTCCAGCCACCAGCCTTTCAGTTAACAGCCAGCTGCTTCACCATGCACCCCAGGGATCCTTTGCTGATAGTACACTTAACTTCACAGAGGCTTCACTGTGGGAATTTATATTTAAAGACACAAGGAGACAAATGTGTTCATTTCTGCCAACAATGAACTTCACCTCTGATTTTTTCTTCATATTTAATTTCTGTCAACAAGCAGGTATTAGTATTAAATTGAGCTTTTCTGTTACGGCTTTTTGCTCTTTCATTTAATAAAACTATCATTTCAGAATAAAACTCCTCTAACCTGTA